ATGCTTACAGCAAGAATGCTTTAAAAAAAGAAAAAAAATAACCACAATAGTGGTGATTTCATGAACAGTGTCTTTGTAAAAGAATTCTTAAATGTAAAGTATACCTATTTGAGTAGATTTAACAAGCCCAGTAGGTGTCTCATGTACCTTGGGAGGTTCTTGTGAGGAAGCTCTAAGTTCAGGAGATCACTTGGCTTTCTTGGGATGCACAATAACTTCACGTTTTATGGTAAATTTCCCTAGTTGTCTCAAGTTTTTTTTCTGGCTGAACTGTTCTCAGAAATGCCTGTAGATCTTCTCTGGACACTTGGGTGTGCCCAGCCCTGTTTTCGGAATCAGGTTGTGTTTTCCATGCAGAGCCTGTTCTTTATGTGGTAGTTGGTGTAGTGTAATAGCCATAGGGTTGCAGTTGCTCAGGCAGTAGATAAATACAGTCTACACCCACCTGGCTGTTATTGTGTTCCCAGAGGGTAACTTTGCAAACAGATGCTGCAGAGTGGCAGACTTGAACAGATACTACAGTACTTTGGGTGCTAGTAGTGTTTCCTAGGTCTTTGTGTGTATTTTAATAGCAGAAAATCTGATTAGTGGGTGGTGTCCCTGCCCATGCAGGTGGGTTGGAGCTCGATGATCTTTAAGATCCCTTCCAACCCAGACCATTCCATGATACTATGAAAATAGTATGTTAAAACAGAAAGAACCTTCTTTCCAGGTGAATGCCCTAAATGTACTTTGGATTGTGACTCAGTTTCTCAGTTCACTGCATTTCCCAGGTAAGTGCCTACACTCATAAAGAAGTGTGTGTTTAGTTTGTTATTCCCTGTTATCTAGCTAAGTCTCAACATGGTTTTGTTTTTGGGTTATTTGAGTCATAGTTAAGGAGTCTGGTTTCTACGTAGCAAGAAATGGTATGCAAATCAGCATTGTGAATTCACTTTTTATATGGCAGCTGATTTTTTCATTAAATTTACTTTGATGCATTTAAAATCACATCGATCTAAAAAGTGTATTAGTCAGCACAGTAGTCTCTTAAACATAACTCATCTCTAAAAAACAAATCTTACAGACTGCTTTAAAGCAGTAGTCAACTACTTTTTGCATTCCAGGCTTTCCAGATTTAAGATGATCATCTAAAGAGATGTTTTACAACAGCTGTTTTAAAACTTTGCTCACTCCCCACCTCTGACAGAAATGGTCTTTTGGAGAGTTGAGAATTTTATATTTTACAGGTATACTGCTTTTTATCCCAAGGGCATAAGATCAGATTAATCAGATTTGGCCAGAAGGAGCTGGAGATGATTCTGTGCAGGAAAGGAAGGTAAAGCCACATTTGGATTTACTCATGATACATTAGAATTCTGTTATTCATAAAAGTCAAATCTGTTGTGTAACGAAGAAAACTCATAGTTTATTTAGGGAGACCTGGAGATGTATATGAAATGAGCAGTATTTGGATTTGTTGAGGATTATTTAGAACTGTAAGTGCTTTTAAGAGATTAGGGTCACTCTGTTGTGCACAGTGTAAACTCATTAAACAAACAAAATAAACCTGTCCCTCTCACCTCAGTTTGTGACAAGGTTGTTTTTGTCCCTGGTGGGATTTCTTTTTTTAATCTGTATCAAAATTATACCGTACAGCCACTAGATGGTATTGCTGAAGAGCAGTGAGTGTTATTCCTTGAAAACACGGAGAGGCCTTTTGGAGAGGTGCCAGCCCCTCTGCTGGGCAGGAGCTCTGCAATTAACTGTTTATCCCTGAGTAGTCCCAGTAACGTTGGAATATTCATGGAGCTGCTTTGCTTAATGGCTGGCAAAGATCATCTTCAGAACCTGGCCTCAAAAGATACCAGCAAGCTAGTTTTCCTTAATAGGTGCTGTACAGATTCTCTGGATAGTCTTTTATTTTTAAAGAAGATAAATAAATGCTGGCAAGATCATTGCAGACAAATGGTAAGTTGAATGTTTGTTCAAAATATATATCCTTGAGATGTGAAGAATGGCAAAAAGGAGTTTTCATGGTTTTAACTTGGTACTGCTTTGCACCTCCTCCAAGTTTCACCACACCTTTTCACTTTGCCCTTTCATAGCTGAGGATGGTTTTGTTGTTTCGTGTTCTGCTGCGTGGTTGGCTAACTTTCTTAGGTTTCATGTGAAGTTTGAGTATCACTCAGAAGTATATTGACACCTGCTTTCTATGGGTGGAAAGAAAAGCTTAACTAAGATATGCTGAAATTGTTTGCTGTTTGTAATTTTAAGTAATTGGAAAATACACAATCTTTGCTTTTAGACAGCTCTGAAAGCTTTTTTTTTGTTGTTTATTTGTTGTTTTTTGCAAGGCAGAGATGGTTATACTGACTACAGGGCTAAGAACAGGAAGGTTAAATAAGTGAAGCTCTTTCTCTTTCTGCCCTTTGTGTTCTCTACCTCCATGATAAATTATGTTACAGAAAAAAATCCTCTCTAAAAGACATTCCATATTAATTGTCCCTTTAAGTTGAATGCTGTGTTCTAATTCTAAACCAGCATTTCACAATGAGTTTTCATTGCATTATCATGTACCTTTGGCTACAGATGCCTCAATGGTTGAATTTCTGTTTTCATTCCTTGAATCTACCCCTCTCCCCTGTGGGGGATGGTCACAGGTATGTGTTTATCTGAAATAAAAATGGAAAGCTTTATGGAAACTATTCAAAACAAATTCAACAAACTGATGAAAATAGATTCTAAGTTTATTGCCTTGAAAATGTAATGAAACTGGACCTCTGATTTTATAAAAAGGTTTTACAAAAAGTGAACTCTGTTCTCTTTACTTTTGAGAGGTTTTCTTTTCCCCCTCCTCAAAGCTACAACCTGTAGCAAGTGGCTTTCTTGCCCATGTGCTGAGTTAGCAATTGTGGAAAAAGAGGAAAAAATCAGGCTCACTGTGGTTTTATTTTAAAACCCTTGGCCAGAAATTGTCAGCTTGGGAATTCCTTCAGAAGCAGTGAAACCTTTTAGGGAACGACTAGGTGGACAGCTGGGGACAGAAATCTCTGTAGCTGGCCTGGGAGTGAGTTAGTTATTGACATCCTGAGTTATACTAATCTGAAAGCTAAGTGGCCTTTTTATGAGCAAAGTTAAAATGGATTTTGAATATGAAAGAGTCACAAGCTAAAGACCCACCTCCCTGTATTTCTTTTTTAATTAAAAATTGGGAGACTATGTTGTTATACTTTTTTCCCTTGTTAGAAGTAATGTATCTCTATTTTTCTCATTAAATATGGCAGCTAGCTTCTATTATTAAAAGATTAGTTGCACAGTTTATTGCTGTCTCTGCTTAAATCTTTTTTTTAAAAAGCAAAAACCATGGCAGCATGCTATTTCAGGGTGTTTACTGAGTGTCTTAGAGATACTGCTTGAATGGCTTATGTATCTCAGTAGCACTAAAACTCATAACAGGCTAATAATGTTTATGAATTTGAAAACTATTTTGGATATATGTGGTAATACCATTTAGTAATAGTATTAACATAAAAAAATTACATACCAGTGGCTGTAAAAGTCACCACAAAAGTTGAAAATACATGCATCAGCAATTAAGGTGCATGTCTATATGATGTAGTTTTTCAGAAAGTGATTTGTAATTGAAATGCCACATGCTGGTGAAGAGAAAAATATTTCCTTTATATATTTTCAGATAATGATCAGAAGCATTTTCTTATTTTTGGATCGTACATATGTACTTCAAAATTCAATGCTTCCTTCTATATGGTAGGTATCCATGTAAGTATTCCTCAAATCGTCAGAGTTGGAATAAGCAATTGTATTTGTAAAGCTTGAAAAATTTTCCCATTATCTTTGATCTGTGTAACAGGTCTCTAAAATTTTGTTTTAATTTATGCCAATACCTTTGTCAGCATATGCATATGTTATATTCTTCTTCCCCAGGAATACTTCTTGTAAAGTGAGGGTGGAAGAAAAAAAGTCTTTATGTTTATATATTTATATATACTTATATTTATATATATATGTATGTATGTATATGTATTTATATAGGTGTGGTTGTCACAGCCTGGGTGAGGCTGGCTGTATGAAGAACCTCCTCAGGCTGCTGCCTCTGCATCTTAACCCTGAGCACAGCATTGCTTTAGGTGCTCCTGGTTTGGACAAAATTGAATTATTTTTTTTTCTTTTGAATTCAGTTATGATTATTATTTTTTTTTTTTCTTTTGAAATCAGTTACACTGACAAGGTACAGATCATCTTTCCAGCACTGGCCTCTTGAAAATCAAGACCCATAGCTCAGGGTGTGGAGATGAAAGCCATCTCCTCAGCCCCCCTAGATGCTGCAGTACTTCAAGCACACTGCAGTCATGAGTTTAGGCATTGAGAATTTCACCATCCCTATTGAGGGGCATTTTATACCATAGTCTGAGAAAACAAACCCAGGCTTTGCTGAACATTTACTGGTATCAGTACCCTGTCTAAAGCAAATAAAAAGATGTAAAGTACTGAAATAAGAGCATGCCTTTTCCCTGTCTGGCTGGCCTGTGTGCTCTCAGGAGTACCTCAGGCTGTCTGAGGAGCCTGGCATCCATACTCATCCTGTGGATGTCTTTCTTCACAACCTCTGCAGTAATTTTCCTACAACTCTTTCTGCTGAGTTTCCCTTCACTGAATGTCATTCAATAGGTCTGTTGATATTTTGTGTCTTTTATTCTCATACTGGGGAAACTCTTTACTGAAATCCTCATGCTTGTGAAGATGTTGGAGATAACAAGTTTTATCTAATTTTTTCTCTGTTTTCCTTGGCCAAAACAACATTTAACAGTTGCCTTCTTCATGGCATAGAGGGACCATTCCTTATCATCTTGATATGAAACAAGAATCTCATGGAGGTGATCGTGGGGTCCTGACCACATACCAGATTCATGATTTCAAACAAATTTTAAGGATTACACATAGATTGATTTAATCTTATGTTAAGGTGTATATTCAGATTTTTTAAATTTTTATTATAGTAATTTTCTTAACATTATTTCTGTTATGCAAAATATGTACAGGGTGGTCATAGTACTCAGATGAAGTGTATGCATCTGGTAGCATGTGGCCTGGTATTTTTATGATAATTCTTGTTACAGTTTTCTTAGTGGAAACATCAAAAAGAGTATACACACCATTGATACATTCCTTCTCTGTATAATGTGAGTCTACCATATATATTTCTTATTAATATACTTTTCTCAAACTAAGATACAGACTTTTGAAAAGAATCACCAATATGATTATTGATTTTCAATATTCACACAGGGATATGGGGCTAGAGTTATTTAGAAATCATGTGATTAGTGACAAGCAAGTTCAAAACAAGACCATTGATGGAATCCTCCTGCTGATTGAACGAGAAAGGAATGGTGAAGCCGTGGACAGAAGTTTGCTGCGGAGCTTGTTGAGCATGCTGTCTGATCTGCAGGTGAAATACAGCAAACTCTACTGATAAAGACTATGTTTGGACTTCTAATTCCTTTGTTGTACAGAATTTTTTATTCTTCTAATGAATGTGCTTAAAAATCTAGCTAGTAGACTGAGACAGTTGCCTTTACTTGATGCACAATCTTCCTCTTTGTAAATGAGACCTCTGCCTGTTTTTCTTAGCTGACACAGTGACCTGCAGAATCTTAAATAGTAGGTTTGCAAGTTTTTTAGTATGTGTGATTTTTTGGCTGTGGTTTACAGTGTAATGAAACCAACTGAAGGTCTTAAAAAGAGTTGAACAAGGAAGACTGCATAAAACAGGTTTTTTGGTCAGGCAGCTTATTTGTTTTCTGCTTTTCATGTTAACCCTCTGTCTTCCATCTCTAACTTTTTCTGGTGTACCAGAAAAAACTAATAACTAATTATTCTGTTTGAGAGAGAAGGCAAACTTCTGTCAATGATCTTTTCAGATCGCATAACCTGGAGGTGTGGATCTGATCTGTGTGCCTTTTCCTGCTTTTTTTTCCCTATTGTTATTTGCCAGGTTTCTCTAACTGCATCAGTTTTATTCTAGGTGTTGACTTTTTAACATTTATTATTTTTTAGCAAAGTGCTCTGCTAACTAAAGATAAACATTGCCCTTTAATGTATCCTTTTTTACAGAATATGATATAAGTCTGCATTCTCCTTGATTGGCTCAAAAGTGTAGTTTTCTTTTTTTCACTAGGGAAACTAATCTACTCTGATCTTTTCTAATATCTGTCACTTCACTGGGATAGAGATGTGCTCATAATCCTGTAATTATAGGCCGGGATCTCTACTTCTCCCTCTTTTAAAAGAAGTTAGCTTCTGAAGAAAGATACATTTAAATAAGGAAATTTTATATTTAATCTGAAAACAATCTTCTACTTATTCCTGATTTTTTTACAATTATGCAATTGAAGCCCAGCTAATGAAAGTTGATTCTTGCTTGCATAAATCCTGTTCTTGAACTGTTTCCTGTTGTGGTGCTTTACCCGTTTTATACAGAGAATAGTTCCATATTCTGTTATGTTAGTGTTTTTCATGTTATCCTGAAGGAAAGGACGGTAAGACATGAAATCTAGCATTTGATTTTTTTCAACATGGAGCTACTGTAAGGAGAAGGCTGAAACAATGAGTGAAGTCTACTTGTGATGCTGTTAGTGAACTATTATGCTCTGAATGCCTGTCAAACCAAAGGTTTTGTATTTATGTTTGCATTGAAAAAAAATCAAGCTTTTACAAGACCTTAAAAGAAAAAAAAAAAAACTGTTAAAATTTAATGAGTTTTACAGCTCTGCTGTATGTTGGAAGAAATATTTTCTTCTTCCACCACACTCAAGGAATCTTTCACTAACTGTCCCCCTGTTTACATGTTATTCCCTACCTACCTTCTCCTAACTATTTTTTATAGTTGTCCTTTCTAACTTAGCTCCTTTCTCTACTGAATCATTATGCAGAAATTTTTTGATACCTGTGATTATTGTTGGTGCTCTTTTTTACACTCCATATTCCTTCCCTGGAGAAAGAGAGTTCACCTTATCTGTTTTAATTCATTTTTCCTGGGCCACTGAGAAGAACCTGGCAGATCTGAAGATGTGTTACTGAGCATATTATTTTACTGATAGGAATTACCTGGTTTGTGCCAATATTTCACTAGTTGGAGGTATATTAATTTTTTTTTTGCCACAGAAATACCAGTGGTAATCTCGAGCTCTGGTGGATCGGATGTCACTGCCGTTCTGTGATGTTGGGTGCAGGTGTTGGGCTGTGTGCCTTGAAAAGAAGCCTGTCAATTTAAACAGTTTGAGTACTGATGACCAGAACATGCTATTGCTGGGAGTTTGGCTCTGATCTTAGTCTTTCTAAAAGCACTGGACAAGCAGAACTTCTGTGTTAATGTAGTGATACTTTGATACTTGTAACTGTGTGCCTTCTTGAGATTTTACTATGCCTGACAACCAAAACATCCTACCTTTGCTTCACAAGCTTAATGTTACTTAATTAATTTCTTGAGCAGGTATACAAGGAATCATTTGAACAGAGGTTTCTGGAAGAGACAAATTGCTTATATGCTGCAGAAGGCCAAAGATTAATGCAAGAAAGAGAGGTAGGTGCATGCGGTAGACAATTGTTTTTATGTTAGTTTTATGTGCTCTGGAATTACATGAGAAGTTCTAGTAGTGCCATGGTGTATTAATGTTCAATGAAATTCCCTACTACCCAGGTACACATTACACACTCAGGTGTTTTGTTGTGAACCACAGTATTGTAGCAAAAGGAAGAGCAGACGCCATCTTGCCTTGGTGCTTGGCATGTGTAATTAAGGGTGGAGAAATCCAGTGGCATTTGGGGTAGCTGAAATCACACTACCAGAAAGCTATTTCCCCATAAAGCTTTAAGGTTTACCATTAGCATTATCTTTGCCCAAAAGCTCTAAAATATATCTACTGGCATTAATTTTACTATGTGGTTCATACCTAAATAAACAGCTTACTTTTTTTACTGTTTTGTTGCATGTATTTTGCTGTTTTGTTTCTTTTCCTTATTAGTTAAATAGACTTAAGGCATTTTTATTTTCTGTTCCTCGAGGTAAAATGATGCTCTGCAGTGTGCAGCTCACAAATGTTGTTACCTCTGAAAATTTATATAAAAAGACATGTTTCTTGGTGGTCTAAAATACAGAAGGCTGCCTTTAGTAATTCTATTTTAACACTGAGTCTCTACAAACATTTTGAAAACATCTATTTACGTTGCACTGAGGTGAATCCTTGTGTCTAATCCCGCTCTGCTCAGCCTCATTCCCTGGCATTCCACTGTGAGATGAAAAGGTTCAACAGAGGTGTCGAAATAAAGAGTCTTAACTGCTTTGATATGCTTAATAGAAAGCTGTGGAAAAACACAAAAGGAATAAGACCCTAGGGCCCACAGTGTATACATGTACATTTTAATGCATATGCACATAGTGCATACACAAGTAAGCATATATGTACATGTTAGTGCATACACGTGTGTATATACGTGTATGCATCAATGTTTTAGTCATTGACACTGGAGTTTCACACCTGTGTCATAACATATGATAAATATGCCAGTTCTCCATAGGGACAGAGACTCCACTGGAGAAACTGCCATTGAAGTAAGAGAACTATACCTTTCACACCAGCTGAAAATCTGCTGCGTGACATTTGAAAGGCTAGCCTACCTCAGTAGGATAGTGAGAATAAATTCCTCTGAAAAATTCTCAGATATCTCTTTTTCTGTTCCTTTCTGTCAGTTGTGATTATAATACTTCTAAGATGAAGTAACATTGTTTAATAAAAATACAGATTATGTATTATGTAACAACATACTGGTGGAATAGTCCTTTCCAATTTGCACTCTTTTTAAAATTGCAGTTTAAATCATTGTAATGGAACAAGATTATTTGCCTTTCATACTCTGAAGTTGAACTTGGCATTCTCTTTTTTCCCTAGGTTCCAGAATATCTCCACCATGTTAATAAACGTTTGGAAGAAGAAGGGGACAGAGTAATAACATATTTAGACCACAGCACACAGTGAGTACAAATGTTGTCATTCTTCACGTAAGTCAAGCATCTATCATACAACTATGTAATTATGCATTATTGTAGAGAGACAGGGATTATTTTCATATTATCTTACAGATATTATCTTGTTGATAGCACTTGTGATACAGCTTGAGATTTTTAAGGCTTTTGTTTTCAGCAAAATGGTTTGCTTTGAGATCAGAAGATACTCTTAGTAAAAGGGGAGACATTTATCCAGAGAAATTTATTAGTGTAAATTAGAGTTAACAAAGCATTATATAATAACTCAAACTTGCATTATTGAAATAGTAGATGATTTTAACTGTTCATCTGCTGATAGTAAAATTAACTATGGATCACTTAAGGGAAATAAATATTCATTAAGCAAAAAAAAAGAAATAAATTATGGCAAAAATACAGGCCATGGATGACATTTACGAGCAGTTTAGGATATCAATTTATGATACATGAACTTGGTGCAGCTGTTGCCAATGTATTGTGCAAGGTAGCTTGTCCTTTTTTCAGTCAGGTGTTGAGCAATAGTGTGTGTTTGGCTGGAGAAAGAATGTGCATTCAGGAAGTACTGCAGAGTCAACAACATGCTATAGATACATATATAATTCATCCTGCACTAAGTTGTTCCATTTTTATTAAAAAAGCACGTAACAGTTAATGAAGAGTGTAACTTTTTTTCTAAATTTTTCATTTTTAGATGATGTATTGGCACTTAATTAAGTGTTAGAAGAATAACTGAATAAAAATTATTTTAACTTACTATTTTCTTTATATACACACTTGTGCATGCCTTACATATCATGATACAGATTTGAACTTGAATCTTTTTTCTATAGATGCCGTTTGAAGGGTGACTAGCTTTTTCAGGCAAAATCTGTCACACTAAACTATATGGAACTATTTCTCTATATAAAATCAAGGCATATAAATATATTTATTTACATTTAAAAAAATAGGTTGATATATTTTTACTGTGTCTAGATGTAAATCAGGTCCTTGCTTTGAATCTAGTCCTTAGTTAAAGGCTTAGAAACCTACTTTTACAAAGCTTTGCACTAGTTTTTGTTCTTTGCCTTAGAAAACAGTAGCTCTTAAAAATAGTGCCCTGGAGTTGTTTTGGGTCATGCTGTCTCTCCAGGTGTGCATGAAAAGAGCAGAAAAATGTTAAATTTAGTTGTTAGGTCTGATCTTGAGATGGAAATTATTCTTCCAGGACAAAATCATCATGGGAAACATTCAAAATATTTCAAACCAGATTTATGCAACACATGGAGTGTGTCGTGTTGCAGCCCATAGAGGGGTTTATTCAGCTCATAAGTACATGCCTCTTTCTGGACAGCTGAGCAGAATAAGCATTTCTCCTGGTTGGTTAGGAGATGCATGAGCTAGATGACTTTGAGGCCATGCAAGAAGGTACCTTCCAGCTCACTCATCAGCTAGCAGTCAAGGTATTTATTCATTCTGTCTGCTTGTTAGGAAATAGAAGAGGCCAGAAAGATGTTCTGAGGGTTGGAGTACCTCTCCTGTGAAGACAGGCTGGGAGAGTTGGGGTTGCTCAGCCTAGAGTAGAGAAGCTTCCAGGGAGACCTTAGGGCAGCCTTTCAGTACCTGAAGGGGCTACAGAAAAGCTGGGGAGGGGCTTTTTACAAGGGTATGTAGCAATAGGACAAGGGGTAAGAGTTTAAACTGGATGAGGGGAGATTTAGACTAGACATTAGGAAGAAATTCTTTAGTGTGTGGGTGGTGAGACACTGGCACAGGCTTCCTATGTCAGAGTCAGGCTGCATGGGGCTTTGGGCAACCGGGTCTGGTGGGAGATGTCCCTGCCCATGCAGGGGGGTTGGAACTAGATGATCTTTAAGGTCCCTTCGAACCCAAAGCATTCTGTGGTTCTATGATGATTCTATGAAATACTACTCTGCCTCTCAGTCTCAAGCAGTCAAATTGCCCTTATTTCCCCTGTAGGCAGAATAGGTCTTCTAGGTCAAAGGATTTTTTTTATACAACCTTTAGTCCTTCTGCTGCTGGAGACAGTCAGCATCTGTAGATAGCAGTAGCTGGACTTTTCAGGGACTGTGGAATAACCATAAAAATTACTGTATGTTTAAGAGCAAGGGTGTGTCTAACTGGTATTTGATGTTTGCTTATGACTACTCAAGGTAGAGAAGTGTATGGGATGCCCTGATGCTTTCCTAGTATCTGCCTGTTTTCGGTGCAGGATATTTTCTGAACCTGATGTGATTTGTCTGTATAGTGTTATTCAATGGATCTCTTTCAAATACTTGTACTGTGTCACTAGGCTTCATATAGGCTTTTGCATCTGTACCAGCCTTTGGCAAAGCATTCCATTAGTGCAATAGCCACCACATCATAAATAATCTCTTTTTCCTTTAAGTCTGGCTCCAAATACCATCATCCCATGACCACCAGTATCACCCTAATGCCATCACACCAGCTCTTGCATTGGAAGAGAAAGGGATCAGTCAGTTCCCTACCACCTTTTCCCTGCCTGTCAATGAATTGTATACTTGCCAAGTCATCTCTCCTGGAAAGAAGAGCCCTTACACATGCAATTATTTGTCTCATAGCTGCTGCTTCATACTTTGATCATCCTTGTTCCTTTCTCTGAACCTTTTCAAATTCTAATCTTTTGAGATGAAGGGACTAGAACTGTATGTTGTATGGAAGGTCAGGCAAATCATTGGTGAGGTATTTGAAGTAAGGTGGTGCTTTAACAAATGTGGGGATACAAAGTGGAAGTAAAATGGCTTCCATCAGAGTCAATCACTTCTCTTCTGAAACACCTAATGATTTGAGAACCACTTTTATAAAATTTAACAGAGTAAGAAATGGTTGGTCTTTTGTTGTCTTATGGTAAATAGTGGAAGAAGTTTAAATGTTGGAATTAGTTACCACTTTGAACTTCAAACATTTCTTTCTTCTTATACACTGTTAAGGATAGAAAGCAAAACCTATTATTTTAAAATCCTGTCTAAAGCAAATGGATCAAATATTTCAGGAACAGAAAAAAGTAGGGAAAATTCAAGGACAAAGTTAAAATGTTTTGCAAATTTGAGTTGTGTGGTTCTAGCTCAATTTATGCTTATGTATGTGCATAATTCAACTGGATGAAAGATCATGAGTTTTGTACATAACCAGCATGTATTGTGCTGTTTTGGAGTTCGAACCTTTGGAGGATTTTGTTGTGTTTGTTGACTTGTTTGTTTCCAAGAAAATGTCAATTTTACTTTTTTTTTCCAAAACTTGTTTGTACTGATTATTGGTATCTAAGCTTCTCTCTTCTACTGTGTAATATCTTCTTTTTTAGTATTCAGACTGAATCTTGTCTTTAATTGCTTACATTGTACACTCTTATTTCTTGACTTATATCGCATACGACATTTTTGTCTTAATTTGCAGCCTCTGTTTTAAGTAGAAAACTGATTTATTATTTTTTTTTGTATTATGTGAGTTATTCACAAATATACTAACAGGAGACAATTCCCTTACACTCTAATATTTCTAATATACTTTTCTTGCCTTTTTTAGGAAACCACTGATCGCTTGTGTGGAGAAACAGCTACTAGGAGAACACTTATCAGCTATTTTGCAAAAAGGTATTTTTTGGAAATTATGTAGTCTCTGATAAGCAACAGATTATCACACTCTGCAATAACCATAGACTCCACAGCTTTTATTTAAGGAGGTATATTAGCCACGGAAAAAATTCCACAGATAGAGAAAGCCAACCACATGACTGTTACACCTACTGTGACAAGTAACTTGTGTATGTGGAAACAAATATAATTCCATATTTTTATGGGTTGCTAAACCCCCTAAATCTCTGACTTGCAGTAGTGGATTTAGAAATTAAACCTTTGGAACTGCTGATTTCATAGAATTATATAAACTTGTAAATGAGAACTGCAGCTGCTGTCCTGCCCTTTTTCCTGTGATAATCACACAGCCCAAAGGTAACAGCTTCATGTATTCTTGTGATTGTATAGTTCAAGAATCATGAGTTCCTGGAACTGACAGCATTCCAAGGCAATGCCCTTTCATATGCTTTTGTCCATGTTTTGGGCAAAATACATGACAAAAATTGCCACCTTTTGTCTGGCAATTTAGGATATTGCAGTCTTCCTAAGAAGTCGTTATTCAGGCATCGGCGTCTTCAAGTCACCATCTCCTTGTTTCTCCTAACTTTTAATCTTTCTCTTTTTCACTAAGCTTCTGTATTTGGTCAGTATTCCTTGATCTTTTAATACTTTAAATGATCCTTTTCTTTTCTTGCACTAGACATCTTTTTAAGTCTTAGATCTTCTAGCAAATTATCCATATATGTATATTTCCTTTACTTCTGCAAAATACATTTCCCTACCTCTTTCATACCTTTGAGAGCCATCATGTCCATGTTTGTTAATACTTTTGGGTTATACATACCACCTTCTTTTCTTTTGTTGTCCCCTTGTTAAAAATATATATATGCTCACAGTTTTCTCTGAATTACTCTGGGAATAGGTTATTTCACTGTTTTCAATAAATTTATAAAAATAAGTGTTGTCACTCCAGTTGAGTTATTCTTAAGCTGATCATAAACAGAAGGAAGGGGTAATAATGTTTTTGTTGATATATGTAAATTTTGCTTGCTCTTTAATTCAAATATTGTTTTAAAGTAACTTTTACAGTAACATGTTTATCAGTTGGCTTGACCAGAAAATGCCTGTTCTTTTTTTAATCTGAACTATTTTTTTGTTTATAATGTAGATGCACAGTGCATGTAAATATGGAGAGAACTGCACATTTTTATATTTACTACATTTTAGGACTCTAGTATTGTTTGATCAGCTTTTGCGTTCTATGTCTGCTCTTAAAAGTGGAAAAAAAAATAAGTCTAGCAACACTTGACTGACATAACTTTCTGCGTTCTTTTTAAGAGAGCCAATGGTAACTTGGGATGTATTAAGAACAGTGTGGCTAGTAGGTCAAGGGACCCCTCTATTCTGCCCTAGTAAGATCACATCTGGAGCATTGTGTCCAGTTCTGGGCTCCCCAGTTCAAGAGGGACAGGGATATGGTGGAAAGAGTCCAGTGGAGGGCTACACGGATGATTAGGGACTGGAACATCTGTCATATGAGGAGAGGCTGAGAGACCTGGAGCTGTTCAGTCTAGAGAAGATAAGGTTGAGCGGGGCCTAGTTAATGTATGTAAATATCTGAAGGGTGGGTGTCAAGAATGGGCCAGTTTCTTTCCAGTGGTGCCCTATGATAGGACAAGGGGAAATGGCACCAAGTTACAACACAGGAAGTTCCACCTCAACATGAGGAAGAACTTCTTTACTGTGAGGGTGACAGAGCACTGGAACAGGCTGCCCAGAGAGGTTGTGGAGTCTCCTTCTCTGGAGACTTTCAAGACCTGGCTGGATGCCTTCCTGAGTGATTTGTCCTAGGTGTTCCTGCTGCAGCAGGGGGGTTTGACTTGGTGATCTGCAGAGGTCCCTTCCAACCCCTATAATTCTGTGAACCCCCATTGACTAGATATTGGTGGTTTTTTTCCACTGTGAGTATAATAACATTTTCCAAGACTCTGGCAGTTACTTTCTGGAAGTTGTGTGAAGCCTTGTCTGGGAGGGCTTTCCTGTATATCTTTTTCATTTTCCAAGTATGTGACAAAATAATTAAGTTGCACAGCTCACATGATAGAGAAAGACAGAAGGTTAAACTTATTGTTACCTAATGCCATTTAAAAATTGGAATTAATTAAGTCTGTTTTGTGAAGTAGGATGGTTCTACACAGCCAGCTATGCTGATATGAGTTGTCAACTTGTGTAAAATCAAACTTTCTGGATTTTAGAAAATGCTAAGTCTTTGATGCTACCCTCCCATATGACAACAGCATCTGTCACCAACACCAGACAATGTATCTCTGATGACACTGGGACTATATTAATAATATTCTCAAATGTAAAAATGTGTATGTATCATAGAATGGTTAAGGTTGGAAGGCACCTTAAAGATCATCAGGTTCCAACCTCCCTGCTATGAGCAGGGACACCTCACACTAGACCAGGCTGCACAAGCCTCATCCAACCTGGCCTTGAACACCTCCAGGGAGGGGGCAGCCACAACCTCCTTGAGCAACCTATTCCAGTGCCTTACTACCCTTATGGTGAAGAATTTCTGCCTCATATTTAACCTAAATCTGCCCTCTTTCAGCTTAAAAGAGTTACCCTTGTCCTATCACTGCCCTCTCTGGTGAAAAGCCCCTCCTCAGCTTTCGTGTAGGCTCCCTTTAGGTACTAGAAGGCTGCTATTAAGGTCTCCCTAGAGCCTTCTCTTCTCTCAGCTGAACAGCCCCAGCTCTCTCATCCTGTCTTCATAGCAGAGGTGCTCCAGGCCTTTGGTCATCTTCATGGCCCTTCTCTGGACCCTCTCCAACAGCTCCATGACTTTCCTGTGCTGAGGGCTCCAGAGCTGTGGGCAGTATTCCAGGTGGGGTCTGAGCAGAGCAGACAGGCACCTCCCTGGCCCTGCTGGCTATGCCTCTTTTGATACATCCCAGAACATGATTGGCTCTCTGGGCTCCAGTGCACACTGGTGGCTCATGTTGAGCTTCTCATCTACCACCACCCCCAGGTCCATCTCCTCAGGGCTGCTCTCCAGCCGTTCTCCCCCCAGCCTGTATTTGTGCCTGGGGTTGTGTCCACCCAGGTGTAGGACCTTGCCCTTGGCCTTGTTGAACTTCATGAAGTTGGCACTGGCCCCCCCTCTCCAGCCTGTCAAGGTCCCTCTGGATGGTGTCCCTTCCCTCTAGAGTGTCAACCACACCACACAGCTTGGTATCATCAGCAAACTTGCTGAGGATACACTTGATCCCACTGTCCATGTCTCCAACAAAGAAGTTAAAGAGCACTGGTCCCAATACTGACCCCTGAGGGACACCACTCATCACCTGCCTCCATTGGGACATGGAGCCATTGACCACAACTCTCTGGGTGCAGCCATCCAGCCACTCTCTTACCCAGTAATTACGATGTTGTTATGCTTCATGTTTTGCCTTGAGCTTCACTTTTCCATTAATTGTCCAGGGCCTGGTCTCTCATGTAGGGTGAGTTGACAAAGGCAAAAGTTGCTTGGAAGGAATTTGTAGTCCTGTGTTACTCCATTGGTATAAGTGCACATTCTTAATCTAAAAGCATGGCTCACAACACCTCACAGTAAAAAATCTTGCAAAGTATTTGTCTTTACTGGGGCAGTTTACATAGCTTACAGTTTTCTGACATTCTCTAGAGGTTTTATGATATCTCTTGATAAACCTGTACCCTTCGAATCAAGCAACAAGCTTACGGTCAACACTTTGTTAGGAATGTACTTAATTGAAATAATAAAAAAATATTATTCCATAAATCATGTCAGCCAGTTTAATCAAGGGGATGTGTTAACCCTGAGCATATCACTTGCTTTCAGAAATGTAAAAATTTCATATTTTTAGGAACACTGGAGGGTCATCTGTTTTGGTGTATTTCATAGAGATCTTTCTAATATATTTCTGCAGTATTTATGTAGCTGTATTCAAATGTAATCTTTCTTTTAATTTTATTTTATTAGGACTTGATAACCTGCTTGATGAAAATAGAATATCAGATTTGACTCAGACATACCAGCTGTTCAGCCGGGTAAAAGGTGGGCAGCAGATCCTTTTGCAACACTGGAGTGAATACATCAAGGTATGTCAAAGATCTCCTACTAATGTCAAAATTTATGCAGTTTTTTGTTTTTGTTTTTCTATCAAAACCAAGAATAATATGTAGGTGTATGCATCAAAATTCTGTTTGAAGCAGATATGGGGAGGGAGAGATGTTAATGTTTTCTCTCTAGGAACACTCCTTGTTGAGAAACTGCAACACCTAAGTTTTTGTTTTAAACATCTACTTGGAAATTACTTTCCTTGTAGGTTCAAGTGTTATACAAGAAGTTATTTTGGATTGGTTTGCTTCTAAATAGAACCACATGCACGTGTGTTTAGAGTATGTTGGATTGTAATACCTGTTGTGTTTTGCTACAAATACACTGAAGTGTTTACATATCTGCAAAATCAGTGGAACATCAGAATGTAGCTATTCTACTGCAGGTTAGTAGGGCTAGATGTAACCAACCTACATGAATGGTGATGAGTGTTTAAGCTAATCTCAGTGGAATACTCCTCTTGAAGATAATCCATCATCAAAGTCGTATTTAGGTGTGATTTAGATTTCAGATTTGTTTTGCAAGGTACACTTTGCATGTACTATGCTGCCCCAGAGAACTTTCACTCTAGTGGTCTTGCAAGATGGAAGTGGGAAAGCTTCACAGAAGGTACTTTCCTCCAGAGTTGATAATTCCCAATGTGGTAGTTCTCTCCTGAATTGCCCATGTGTTCATCAGCCTTCAGAACTAAATGCACACCATCACCAGTGGGACATAGTCTCCTTTCTGTCCCCAGAATCAAGGTGGAGTTTGCTCTGCAATGTGTTGTCCTGTGTCCCCATATGCAGTCTGTGGATCTATAGGCAGCTAGGCTGACTGAACCGCTTGCCATG